TGAAATCGGTTTTGGTTTTCTATTTTAACTCACACACAGACACTTATTAGACCTTGATTTCATTTACTTCGCGTAGCACAACACACTTAACTTATTCGAATGGATAACATACCTTACACCAATCCATTCTGTTTTAAAGTTTAAAGAACAACGATTTTCAACTCAATTTCCTTGTATTAAGATAATTATTAAGATGTGCATCTCATTGATAATGTCATTGACATATAAAAGATACTTGTTTTCTTTATATTTTTTTTTCCTCGTCCATTTTATCTAACGAAAATTGGAATCAACGAAGCATCGTCAACTTATTTATTTATAATAATAATAATAATGTCTTTATTTGCAATAAACAGGGTTATATATACAGTGATGATATTTAAGTTTAAGAGCTTTGACCTATTTAGCCATCTTGAACAGCATGCAAAAAAAAAACTAATAATAATAATAAAATAAAATAACTTAAAATATTTCATAATTACATAAAATTGTGTCTATTTGTTTAGTTTAGTTTTTATGTGTTTATTTGTTTAGCTCACAAAACAAGTTGTAGTAACATAATTTAAATAAATGTACACAATTTAAAAATGAACCAAACCTCTTAAACTTTAAAAATACAGACAACTGTAAACCATACTTTTATATATATCAAATTCTTACATTACCCTGCATATATATTAGAAGTATGTAAGTTCGTACGAAAATACCCGAAATTAAAAAAAAAACGTGAAGAAACAACTACTTATAATTTACGCAATCGGAATAAGCTAACCATAGCAACCTCCCGCTTAAAATTACATTCTTCTGGTCCACTGGCAAAGTCTAATAAAATATACAATAATTTGCCAAACTCAATAATAAAGAAAATGATTACATAAATAAAGAATTAATTAACCAAAAAGACATTTTTATATCATACAAGAATACCTAAGTGATAAAACTTAATTTAAATGTAATATGCTACATTTGTATTTTAATGTTTATTCAATATAAATATCTATTAAACCGGTAAGTTTTAAGCCATAAATTATTAGTTTATAAAAGAAAGGAAATACTTATTACTTATATTTTAAAGTACAGTGTCCACCCCCCTCCAAATTTGCTGTTCCCGACGGAGGCCATAATGATACTTTTGTTTTTTTTTTAAAATAAATAATTGAACATGTTATGGACCAAATAGCATAACGTATTCACAGAACATTTAACAAATATACGGCTAATAAAGAAAACATATTAAAGAAAAAATATATGGTTTAGAATAATTCAAAATCAGCATCTTCCTGAAACCTAGTTTGATGTAGTAAAGAAGTAGACTTTTTCACTGAACTTATAGGAGTCGCCTAGATACTTATTTAGGAATCGCCTAAGGTAAAAATGTATTTCACCATTGACTAGGAACTACCTAACGAAATTAAGAAATATCTAAAGTTATGATATTCGTTATGCGGCGATTTGTGCTAGGCGTTTGCGTATATGACAGATCATAAATATATCAAAGGATAAAAAAATATATATTTGGAATTAATGAAATTAATTCAATATGCTTCCGAAATGTGAGATTTTCATCAAAGTAAACCCCAAGATCTTTAATCACAGAAGTTCGCTGCAGGTAAGCGCCTTCAATATGACAAAACTCCTTTTTATTCCTCTTGTTATCAAATGAAATCATGAAGCATTTGCTAGCATAAATAAACATTCGGTTATCCGAGCACCACCACCACTAGATCTAAGTTATGCTATAGTTTGACATAGTCTAGGGAATTCTGAATTGTGTGGTAGATTTTGAGACCATAAGCATACAACAAGCAAGGATAAGTGAGACGTTCCGCTAAGTTCCGCGATGTCGTAAATAACAACGGCCCTAAATGTGTGCCTTGCGGAACGCCAGAGGTAACAGTTGCCAGAGAAGAAAGATAAAACTTTATACTCATAAGTTGACTCCTGTTGTCTAATTACGAAATAAGCTATAGTATGACCGTTTAAATGAGTCCTCGCCCGCGCGGTACAGGGGCGCGGGGTATGACGACTAAGGGGACCGAGAGAGGTGCGGGCGGCGGGCGCATTTTTGTTTTACCTGCCGTCCGCCTCCCTCTTGGTCCCCTTTGTCGTCATACCCCGCGCCCCTGCACCGCGCGGGCGAGGACTCATTTAAACGGTCATACTATAGCGGTAGCACACTCTGAAACTACTGGGCCGATTAGAAAAATTCTTTGACTTACAGGATAAAAGTTATAACATACGCGGGTAGAATATTCATTACAGCGGACGAAATTGCGGGTAATCTTTTAAAATTGGCAAACTTTTCCTTCTAAACAATTCAAAACAAGCAAAAGCGACGCCACCATAGACAAATAGAATATTCAACCAGAGAGTAAATTTTATATTTTTTTTAATATCCTGTCAAAGGGATTGGCTAATACAGCCAATGCCTATTTATTTTAGTTTATTAGTAGGTATAAGTAAATATATATATTTATATAAAGATTGTCATTTAGTATATACCTATAATTTATGTATATATATCTATAACGCCAACCTTTTGTACAGGCTCTGCCAGAATAACCAGCGCCTTATCAGGGTAAGCGACTCTGGTATGGCTTATGCTGAGGCAGAGTCCTGATTGGCCACCACCTTTGTAATAAGTTAAACCATTGTCATGTACCTATGTGGTCAATAAATATATTTTCTTTCTTTCTTTCTTTCATTCTTTCCTTACATTTATTTTACATTTATGTTGTTTTAAACTTATAAAAATATTTCTCTGAAAACCACATTAAAACCGTGTTAATGTACGAACCTCAATTTATTTATTCTGTTAATATACATAAAACGTTCTACGTCTGACAAATACTATGCCAGACGTAGTACGTAGTATGAAAATCGCATCAAAATCGGTTCAACCTTCGGTTGAAATCGGTTAAGATACTAAAACCTTATACTAAGTGTAACAATTTCTTTTCTGAAAACCGCATCAAAATCGGTACAGATAATTGCGGACAAACATACATATATACAGGTCAAACTGAGAACCTCCTTTTTTGAAGTAGAATAATAAAAAAAATACTTATGTTAAGCTTTAATTTTGTAGTTATTTTGATTCGTCCGGTCGATATCTATTTATAAGATTATTTTATACAATAGAGTATACCTTATTTACCTCTATATACTTTCAAAACGGTCCATGATAATTAAATAAAACCGGTTCGGCAATTTTCTTTTATGTCGAAATAACCGGTAATAAAAAGTAGTCGAAGTGACAGCGTAGGTAGGAATGTCATCAAAGTAAACGAGCATCGGCTAGTTTCTGAATTAGGATAAGTACAAAATCTCAACTGATTATTCTCAATAACTTTGTATTTTACGTTTCACAAGTCAAAAAGTCCATGTTTTATCAAACTGCATCATCTGATCATTCAAAAAATAAAATCCGAGACGAAAACCTGTTTAAGTAACGTTTGTTTACAGTTTGAGAAGTCCTTAATTTTAAATTCTCAATTCAGAAATCTGGTGTAAGTAATCTAAGCAATAAGAAGTTGATTTCAGTTTTCAAAAAATAATCTATACATTATTCAAGTATCATCGCTTGTAAATTAGGAATTATGATAGATCTATTTCAGTGTCAAAGGATTATATTCTCATGGGGTTTTTATAAAATGTATGGGAGTTTTTATTAATTACCTATTCTTTTAATAAAAACAAAATCGGGATGTATGCACATAAATAAAATATTTAAAATAATAAACAATATCGGTAACATCTTGTGAAATATATTATAAAAGGTAATATATTATTTATTTAATTAACTGAACACGTTGAAAGACAAAAAGTAAATTTGAATTGAATTTGTGCATGTCAAGGTTTAATATGACCATATTACCCAGAAATTAGAAAAACTTGGTAGGTATTGTGAACGAATAATCATTTTTAAATTTCATTTACATTAACCGGTTAAATCCATTCAATCATAAAATAATAAATACAAGACAAAAACACTTCGCTCGAGTTTTAATAGGTTTATTAAGCAATTTATTATAATTTTTTTTTTTTTGTTATGTTTGAGTATTCTTAATTACGGTGTGTGTTTGGGTCTTATTACTAATAAATTTACATTTCATTTTGTTATTACTAAGTAAATGTCTACAGATGTCTGCTGACCGAGAAATGTTTCTTCTCGTCTTTGGATTCTGAAATAAAAAAGAGAGTTAATTTTAATCAGTCAATAATTGTGAATTGTTATTTATTTAAAGCCCAAAAAAGTTTCTTAAAGACATTTTAAACGTGTAAATTTCGAATATGCTTTGTAATTTGTGTTTACATTAGCTTTAACATCGGTTCTGTCAGTTATTTGTCTTGAGAAAAATAAATATAATACGTAATGCATATATATTTATCGATTTATTTTTCTTTCAAATAGATAATCAAATCCAGTTTTACACAGATGTTGAGACCAGAAAATGGTTGTAGCTTAAATCTAGTAGTTTTGATCACCAGCTTCATATAATGCACTTAGTTATCACCAAACAATAGTGTTATAATATAAGTTAGTAAATAAAATCTACTTATACAAACGATAATAGATTTTTTTTCTTACAAAGTCTTCCAATTATTACCGGTTTTTGACGTCTCAATGGCTTGGTGGTAGCGTTCCTACTATTGGGCCGAGAGTCATGGGTTCGATCCCCACCCAGGACAAACATTTTTGCGATTAACAATTATGTCTGTTCTGTGTCTGGGTGTTTTCTATTTATATTATGTATATATTTGTATTCCCCCGTTGTTTCTGATATCCGTAACAAAAGCGCCTAAGCTGCTTACCTCGGAATCGGATCAATGTGTGTGATGTTGTTCGATATTTATTTATTTATTTTAATACTAATAATCGGTATTATTTACGGATTTCATTTACTTTCTCTATGATATCAAGCGTTATTTATTTATTAAATTTCTGTACTGTATTTTCATTATTATTTTTATACTTACTTTAACTCTATGCAGGTTTCTTAGATAATTCTTGAGTGTGACATGCCAACATCTCTCCATGTAGCAAAGTATTGTTTGAAGGCTGCTGGTTCAGTACCCTGCGGTACTTTTATCACTTGAACCTGACGATTAATAAATCGAAGGTTATTCTAGTGAAGCTCTTGCGTTTATATTAAACCTACTTGGTGATGAATATGAACATACTGAGTGGTAAGTGTAAGTTTTACGCTAACGCGTTCACTAGTGAGCGCGTTAAGAATTTGTATGGAGATTTGTAGTTCTTGATAGTTACCGCTAGGGGCGCTGTGCCGAATTCCATACTAAAATCTTAACGCGCTCACGATCGACAGTGAACGTAAACGTCAAAAAAACTTACACTAAGCGCTCTGATAGGGAGTATTGATAATTTATTAAAAATATATATTTTAATGTCTTATCTGCCTTCCCAACTGCAATGTTAGCTCTGCTATATAATAAATAAATACGTAAAAATAACAATATTATTTTCTCTCATATAAATAAGCATTTGAAACCCATATTTAGGTAACTTTTCATGGCGTTTTGTATATTGTTTGTTATGTGATATAATGCTACAAAACTTAATACCTGTACGTACGTAACTTAATTAATTAAGTAATTTCGGAGTTGCAATTGTGACATTTAGATAAGAATAATCCTAGTTAATCCACCTTTAAAATTGAGGCACGTAATCATAAGCAAATTGTAATTGTATTTTTTTTTTAATATTGTCAGAAAAACTAAAACTTAATATTTTGACGCTTGTATAGACAATAGCTTTTACAAGATTTATTTATATTGCCGTATTAGTTAAGTCGTTAGCGTGGGGCAATGCAAATTTACGATTGCGCTGAAAATGGAGCCGGAAGGTAGTCATGATACCTTGGGAATTAAATGAAGCAAGCCTATTCGGTACGAGATAATATTTAGTATCTGATAATGGAACTTTTATCTAGCTCTTTTAATAGTTCGGTTGCGTAGTGGATAAGCGCCGTGGCCCGCGATAGATTTTGTTAAGCAACTTTCGCAAGATATGGTTGACCAATTATTATCTCGAGTTACTTTCTGCTTCGGAAGGCATGTTAAGCCGTTAGTCCCAGCTGCATTTCCCGTCGTTAATACATTCCATTCCGTATTGGATCAGAGCGGAGGGCCATGACCAATCTTCCTTAATCATCCATCAGTCTCTGCTATGATGATGAATGGAACTTGTAAATCAAATAACGCGATTGGAAATATTGTTTTAAAGTATTTTTAAATTATTACACTTACCCACGATGGATAGTTCTTGGAGACTAAAGTCTGTTGAGCTTTGGTTAGAGCTTCAGATTTTTCCTGCAAACGAAAGAGTTATATAGGTATTATAGTAATATTTTTCCATTCTCGAAAGTAGCGGTTAATAAATGGGGTCTATTTGATTATCTATCATCCCCAACGCAACGCTCAATTCATAAGACGTTTTATTGTTTTTGTTAACGCATAAATGTTATTAATCTTTTTTTATCGGTTATTATTTTTATGAGGAACCGGTAAATCATTATTACCGGTTAAGCTGTTAGATAAATTATCATCGTTTGTGTGATTCTGTCATAAGATTAATAACAATTGTATATTGATTAGCCTTAACATTAGAGATAGAAAATAAGATGTCTGGCGGGCGGTGTGACGCCGTGTTCGAAGTTATTTTTCTGTCACTGTTTCTATGTTTAAAAAAAAATAAAAATATTATAGTGATTCTTGTTTCAATACGCGCGTGACTACTACTATAAGGTTTAAAATATAACGCGCGTGATACTTGAAACATTGTGATTGGTCGACATTTGCCGCGCTACAATATTTATCTTTATAGGCCAGGGTTGGTGAACCTTTATGTGTCAGCGTGCTATTTTTTTCTAACGAAATGTTTAATGAGGTCATAAACGTGCCATCAAATAATTTTGATTGTGTGATCATTGAGAAAATAATTATTATTAATACTATCAAGTCAAAACTGTTTATTTACCCCAAAAAAGTTACATTTTGCAATGTTTCATTTGGCTAATTTTACATTGAATTACACACGTCATTTAATTATTGTAAAATTAATGTGAATTCTGTTGTTGCGGATTATATGACAAAAAATTGAATTTTGTAGACGTGCCCAAAGTATTGTGCCGCGTGCCAATGTTTCGCAATCCCTGTTCTAGGCAAATACATTAGTGAGACGTTAGTTGTATCTTCACTGCAAATAAATAATATGGAATATGAATTTTCTTACCCGTTCCGAAGATTGCTTGCCGGTCCATACATAAATACTTCCACTGACAGTGTCCAAAATGTAACTCTCCTGTAGAAAGTAAGTAATATGAAATTCGATGTTTACTACAATTAATTACTCGCATCAACGGAGTTCAAACACCGATCACCCATGCTATGATCGGCAAGAGCCGATCATAGCATGGGTGACCAAAGATTTATTATCTTGAGGTTTTCCGTGATTTGAAAGGCACGTTATTGTGTTATTCCTGGCTATAATTGTAGTAGTTAATACCCAGTATGGTCAAGCCTACTCTCCCTATTCGATTCTATGCATATGTCGCAGCCAAATGGTATAATCAGTCAACCACTTGGGCGACTAGCCCTGTAATTGAATAGTGCCATTCAATTTCATTGAAGGGCTAGCCGCCCAGTTGGCTGCGACACAATTGATAACACCGGTCCTTCAGCAGTGGGAATATTAAAAGGCAGTTCTAATGAATGATTTAAAATTATCTTACAGTTGGTTTCAGCTGTTCTTGCTTGTAAGGCTTGGTCAATGCGTTTGCCTTCATTTTACCAGACGCATCGGATATTTCAGATAGCAAGACTGTCTGTTCTTCGTTCTTCTCGAATGTCTGCAGAAAAAAACACGATGAATTAAAACCAAATCTATATAAATAAGTTCATAACGACCGCACAAAATTAAAACAGTAATTTTTCTATAAGTTAAATATCAATAAAAAAATTTAATTGAGAATTTTGCTATATATGTTACTGAAAAAGCCTGAAGGCCAGTAAATCTTAAGATATCCCTCCAAATAACATAACAATAATATTAAAACTGTATCATCATAATTAAATACAAAACTATTTAAGGCTTTGAATGATCGGTAATTACAATAAACGATTAAGAATTAGTCATTATTTTATTCCCATTACCAACATTTACCAACCATCATTAGTAAATCTTAACATGTCCCAGACTCTACTGGTAAAAATATTGTCTGTTATTAATAAAATTCGGACATTTACTAACTCATGCTTAGGATTTACTGGGAAATCTTAAGATTTTCCGTATTTCGGGTTTTTACAGTAACTTTGTAAAGAGCAAAGATTAGATTGTTTTTTTGCAAAGAGTAGACTCCGAAACTGTTGGACCGGTTTTAAAAACTCTTTCATTCGCGGTTAACATAGGCTATTATTTTTATGAGCGAAGTCACGGAAAACAGCTCGTGCTATAATAATGCAATAACCTGGTCATCACCGCCCGCAGCTTCTTCAGGAACTGTATTGGGTGCACCTGATCCTAAAGCTGTGAAGAATTTCTGGACATCCACCTCACTGGAGTATTGATCTATAAATGATTTTTTTTTTCATTTCAAATAGTAATTTAATATTTTTTTCTAATATTATATCGATATTTACTGAATTTACAATGTCAGATGGATCACTTATAACAGAAATATAACTAATGAGAATTTATTATATAGTTATTATTATTACTTTCTAATATTCTAAATTGTAGTTTAATAATTTTTTCAAGCTAAATCTGAGTTATCATGTTTCCTCTTTTAGTATTTTATTTAAAATCAGGCATAAATCAAGAAATATGTCCTGATAAATCGTGAAAACATAGATTGCTTGATTGGAAGAGTTTTTTTATAAGAAATCCCTTTTTACTGTTTGTACTAGTAATAATAGTTATCTTAAAAAGAAAGCACGCAATCTCTATGTTTTACTTAGAATGAGTTCTTTTGGTAAATGCTCGATTTTTATGAATGACAGATAAGTGAAATTGACAAGAAAATAACTTGTACGGAAATAATGTTCCGTGTGATGCCTCCTGATGTAGCTAGGCAACCTGTGACCTAATTGTTAATTTTAAAGCCTATCAAATCCCTTTCAAAAGTAAACGATTTGATTTAAGGAATTATGTTACTTTTATGTCACTATCGCTTTTGGAATGAATGATATAAATGCATTCTTAATGAAATATGCATAAAAAATTCACTTTTTCATCGAAAAGTCATGGGTTCGAGTTCCATCACAGAATGTCAGGGACAAAATGGATATTTAAAGCATTTTCCATTAAGGATATTTTTCGGTATAGCATTGTGTATACAAAATTGCTCAAATATAAATCTCATAGACTATTAATTTCGTTCGACATTTGCCAATAGCTTTCAAAGATATTTTTAAGTATTACTTTGCTTAGACAATGAGGAAGTATTTAAAAAAGAAACGAAAGCACCAAAAAAGCACCTCCACTAAATGGCGACTCTAGCAAAAGTTGATTTTTGCAGGAAACAAATGGACCAAAGACAGTCATTTCCGTTCCTTTTAACTAACATATTAAAAAACTGAAATTTTAAAGTTCGAAACTTAGATATCAATACAAATACGAAAAAGTACAAATAGAATATGAATTGTTTACTGAGTTTTGAAAACTAATTTACTTTTCAACTATGAAAGAAAACCGGAAGGGTTGTCTATCACGGAGAAGTCAAGAACGTACCGTAGCGACATCTGGTTGGATTTCGGGAACTGTTTTTTTTTAATACTTCCTCATTCCGATTAACATCAAATAAACGTTACCTTCATTCAATATGTCAAAAAGTTGTTGCGTGAAGTTCGTGAATATCTTTCAAATGTCAAATTCAAAGTGATTGTGATAGATGTTAAAATCAGACAATTAGGTCACTGGTTCTAAGTTATTAATCTACATTCTATTTAATTATCTTATGAAGTTTGTCATATACCATATCGTATAGGCTTCCGTTAGGTCAGGGGTAGGCAACCTTATGAAATGGAAGAGTCAAAAGCTACAATTTACAAAATGTCCTAGGTTTTAAGGAGCTACTAAAAGTTTTAGTTTCAATATTATACCTAATATATTAGAAATTGTATTACAAATTAACAACCTCGAATATCTATCTCAATCTTATTGTAAGACGGATTCATACTATCCGTCTTATCATCACGTCATATCACATCATCCATCATACTATAATAACATAAAGGTTTTAATAGTAAAATAATAATTATTTGTTAATTAAACTTGAGAGCTATAACCGCAGGTTACCAACCCCTGCCTTAGGATGGTTAGAGTCTGGCAAGCGAAACGTGTCACAAGAAAAGGGCGGCAATTTCAAAAATTCTTAAGCAGTAAACACTGAATGTAGTACTGCAAAATAATTTTGATACTTTTATTAATTATATTTAATCTTAACATTTAGATATCAATTAAAATTATTTGTTTTGGAACATTTGACTAAAGCGTGACTGTTCTTAATTGTACAGTTAACAGCATATCAGTAGGCCTATTCACTAACTCAACTGACAACCAAGAATCGTCATCACCGTAAAAAATAGACACTTTGATTGTGTCAAAATCACTATTTCGTATTCTCTATCAATGATGAGCAATTTCGAAATGTCAATATCGGCATTCTCCACTGGACTCCATTTTGACACTTGATTTCGTATCGATAAACTGTATTAAAGTAACATTGTTGCAAAGCATATTTGAAGTCGTCGCATAGTACCTCTTAAGCCATTTGTTGTTAAATTAAAGCGAAAAAAAATACGTATCCAATATTTTTCTATTATCTGACTGACGGACTAAATCGAATCTTTTTTTTAACCCATTCGTTATACCTATTGGCTAACAGCACTTATAATATTAAAAATTCATATTTGTCATTAATTAAAAGGGTGTTTTTTGCAACGACTTCTTTGTTTTTTTGTAATGAATATGGGCGACTCTGGCCACATTTTTTTAATAAATGTGATGTTAGCCAATTTTGATTTCTGGCCCTTATATTTATAATGTGTTCATAACACATACATGTCTCCTAAGGGATTTTCATCACAACCTTTTGCTCTGATCCAGAACCACTATCTATCAAATTAAATTAGTCAATATAAACACCAGATTACAATAAAAAAAACATTTATTTTTGTTACAATTAAGTGCCATGGATAAATTACATAATACAGGTGTCACAAAATCATCATGTTAATCACAATAGAAAATTTAAGATAAGATTTTGACTATGAATCAGACTAAAAATACTTTAGTCTGATTCATAGTCAAAATCTGTTTCTAAATATTCTACACCTGATAACAATGACAAGGAATCATCAGAGTCACTCTCTTCACTACTGTCTGCACCAACAGATATAATAAATTTTTCAAGTTCGTTTTCAACAATGCCATCTTTTAATTTGTAATCATTTTCGACATTTAAAACATGATCAGTGTATTTCTTCCAGTCACTAGGGGTAATTAAGTTAAAACACTCTATTATTAAGTTTTCCATTTCCTTTCCTGGTATTCCAATGTTTCTGCTTGCAATTTTTCTTTTTGCTTGACTCCAAACCATCTCTATTGGGTTTAAGTCACAATGATACGGTGGCAGCAATAAAAGTTCATGATTATGTTCTTTTAAAATCTCTTCAGCTTCATATACAGGCAATGTTTTCTTATCATTAACCAAACACATTAACTCTGCCTTTGTCTGATATTCCTCAAAATGTATTCCATTATTTACAAGCCATTTACGGATATCTGCTTTGGTATTAGACATTATAGGCGGTTTATTGATTTGTTTTATATGGTAGCTGGCATTATCCATAACAATTACACTGGGCTTACTTAAATTTGGTATTAATTTTTCTCTGACCCATTTCATAAAGTTCGATGAGTTCATATCATCATGATAATCAGCAGATTTGGATTTACTACTGAACACTAATAATGCACCAGGCACAAAACCTTCCTCAGATCCAGCATGCACAACAATATGCCGTTTTCCAGAGGATATCTTTGTAGTGACACCAGTTGTTGAAGGTCCTTGCCAAGACTTTTTAACTTTATAATTCTGATGTACATAAGTTTCATCAAGGTACACAATTTGCTTTCCTTCGTTTCGTTTTATATTTATTTCTCTCAAATACTTGTGCCTCCATGCAGAAATCTGGTATTTTTCTATAAGCATAGAACGTTCATTTTCATTGCTTTTAAAAGAAAATCCATTCTTAAGCATAATTTTTCGTAAAGTCTCACGGCTACCACTGAATCCTATTGCATCTTTTAATTCATTGTGAAGGCTTCTTAATGTTGGAACAATTTTTTTCACACAGTAAAATTCATTTACTTTATTCCGAATTGCACTTAAATCAAAATTATCTAAAGCAGACACTGTTGGTTGATGAGGTCGTTTTTTCCCAGGAGTGTCCCATTTTCCTTTATTAATTAATGCTTCATTTTTTATCCTTCTTAGTGTCCTTATACTTACATCTATAAAAGATTAAACACTTTGAAACAAAGATATGTTAAATGTATTTAAAAGCAAATAATGATAGACACATACATCAAAATAATTTAAATACCTATTCAACTATGAATGCAATTTATGTTTAATTTAGTTAAGTTTATGTGCATATTTAGCATGTATAACAATTACATGGTTTGATTAGTTTCATGAATTCTGTGAATTTCCTTGTTAAACAAAACATTCTTATGACATCATTGGATGTCAACAATAAAAACCAATACATCATAAAAAACCTATGTAAATATTATAGGAATACTATCAATCTATCTTAAATCAAAACAAGAAAAGAGACCTGTCATTGAAGAAATTTTTTGTAAGTACTGCGTTTCCGAATTCAGCATTTCTTGTTTTTCTAAAGTTTTTATTGCATTTATCTCCTCCATTATTGGTTGAATATCACCATCACAGTTATCTGAAATAGAGCAATATTTTATAAAAAATATCTGTTTAGTTAATTACAGAAAATTAAAACGAAAGTATCAAAATTATAATACAAAACTAACCTAAAAAAGATACAACTTTATCTAATCGTTGTAATTTCTCCATGAAATTTTTATTTAATTCAGTTTTCACTTCAGTAAACTTGTCAATCATGATGGAAAGAAGTTTCCTCGATGAACTTTTTATCGGCTTCGACATAATTTTTAACCAAAAACACAAGTTCAAATTCGCAAAAACAACAAAATTCAATATTCTTGAATTGTCTAACGTAGTGTCAAACTGAGAATTCAAAATAAACCGGTTAATTACCAATAATCTCAACTCGTCCCCTGCCATTGTGGTCCTGGTCTCTTATTTGGTTAGCGAAAGAGATCGCCTTCAGTTTCTCCACGTTCTTTGCCTTCTTACCGACGTATACGAGAATGGTCTGATCCACATCCAAAATGAAACAATCGCCTTCGTTCATTGAAGAGATTAGAGGATCAACCTTTAAAAAAATATGTGTATTTGAAATAAAGGCTCTTTGTTCGATGTTCTGCTTTCGGAGCGGAGTACAAGCAACCGGAATTCCTTTTGATACCGTTAACCGGTTAATTAAATTGAGCAGTATCTGCATCCCACATGCGTAAAGAAGTTAAACTGACGAATACCGCTACAGCAACTTGGTAGTTAGACAGAAGGCATCTATCGTACATGTGGACACCATCTACTAATCTAAATAAAGTGACTTTTTATACTGAAAGACCGCGTAACTTACCGCGTTACTAAGGTAACTTTTTAGTTATAAAGACAGAATTAGTAAAAGCATCTATGTAGATTAACTGAACCCGCAATAGCTAATTAAACTGCCAGATCTAACGAATGTAAAGTATATAGGTAGACCGGAAGATCTAACAGAAGTAACTTGGTGATTAGAACGTTTGTGCAAAACTATCAAATAAATAGATTGAGGGATGTCGTAAAGGCAATTCGGTAGTTTCAGTAGCCAGTTACAGTAAAGGTCGTTGAATAATAAGATCACGCAATAGAAACTAGTTTCCAGGTAGACCAAGGTAGACCTACGGATCCCGCAAAGGCAACTGTAACAAGTGGGTAGTTAGACTGACTTTTCTAGGAAATGGGATTAATAGATATTAGGGGAATTCAAACTAAAATATTACCTGCCGGATTCTGATGTTCTTCTTCCCTTTAACCTGGAACAGCCGTTTGGCAGCACCAGCATTAGTCGTCACGTGTTTGAATCCTGTCGCAACACCGCCGTCCAAATATTTGATACCTGCAGAAAAAAAAAATACATTTAGTCTACGAACTCCGTGACTGAGTGGCTCGTACGCCGGTTTCTTGGTGTCGCCATCTCAGGGGCGCGACCGCCTAACTCATGGACGTAGCCGTAGTCGTAGCTATAACCTATGCTTTATCGATATTTCTTATGAATCTGTTTATATTCTTTTAAAGTTAATTGTTGTTTTTAATTTTTATATTTTATCAAACATTTTGGTTTGTTTTTCTTTTCGAAATATCATTGTTTGTATCAATTCGATATTTTGTAAATTTCGTTTAACTTTAATAATTCAGCAAACAGAAACAACTAAAAGCATTGATTAAATATGTAAATAATAAAAAATGATTAATTTTTAAACAACATCAACAGATTCATGTGTAAAACCTATAAAGCGTAGGTTATAGCTACAACTACGGCTACGTCCATGAGTTAGGCGGTCGCACCACAGGACCGGATCTAGGGAGATACATACACAGTATAGGCCACGATGGAAGGAATATGTTTTTGAAGTCCTTAAATGAAATAAAATAAAAAAATACGGTAATATAAAATATGACGTCATGGAGCGGGACATTCCAAGTTAAGTCAATGTAGGAAAAGCTATCTTTTCCTCTGACTCAGGTCTGGGTGTTAATTGTTTCAGATTGCCTCAATACAAGCGCTTGAGCTACTCATCTTGGAATCTTAGCAATCTATGTGATGATATCTAATATTTATTATTACTATCTTCAAGTGAGGCACAATCCTAACATACATTTTTCGCTTAATCCACTTACTTTTGCTAGTTTCATACATGCTCGCCCGTTTTTCCTTTCAACAGAACGCGATCGATTTGATCGTTAAAGGTGTGTTGCCTTACGCGATTTCTACATCCTTACTTCCTTACTTCCGATCCTTAACGGAGTGTGTCTCTGTTAAAACCAATTTCCGGGACAACTAATTTTACCCTAACTTTTAACAGATTGCAATGAAATATGATAGCGGCTGTACCTGCACGTGCAATGTCGCCCTTAGTTAGGCCTCTGCGTCACCTCAATGCACTTTGTGGCGCAAACACTTATTTCAATTTTTTGTTTGACAATTGGGGAAATATCAAGCGGCAATTATTGACGTACTGTGAGAATGTAAGGGACCAATGGAGCAACTCTGGTAACTCTGATAATGAAAGATAGTGACTAGTTTATTTAATGTAATTGTTAATTTATTGATCTATTTTATTTATATGTGACCATCTTAATTATTTGAATAATGTATGTAATATCTAATTAATTTCCCTATTTTATTTGTGTGTGATAATTTTTTTTTTAATAATGTATGTGAATTGTGAATTGTTAATTTTTTTTTTTTGTAAAGTGTGACAATTGTTAATGATGTGCTTTGTTTGCTGTGCTTTGCTTTTATCACAACAATAATAAATAAATAAATATTGATAAGAAAATAAAGACGACTTGTAATGAGTGATGGTTATTATCGATTTGCATTCACAAGTTTATGATATTAGGTTCAGTTTTGCTTAAATCATGTCTAAATTGAGAAAATTTCATTTTTAAATAACAATATAAAAATGTTAGATGAAAATACTAATGTTAGATAAAAATTTGGTTTTGATTATTATAATAATATAATAAGTCATTTATTTCAAGCATTGACACTCATATACATAATCATTATTAAAATAAAATAAATAATATTAGATTGTACAAATAAATAAAATTAAAAATTAAAATATGCAATAACGAAATGCAATCCAATCATCGTTAAATCATTATATAAAATGACAATTATCATTAAAACGTAAAATAATTCGAAAAACGTATATCCCAACAATCAGTTTTTTTTTTATTTTTTTTTTTTTATTAGGTTATTTGTTGTTAGCTTATTACCCGTACTCGAAGGGTTAAAACGAAACCCTATTACTAAGACTCCACAGTCCATATTTCTATCACCAGATTGTAATTTATGAATACAGATAGCTTTAGGCATGTGAAATTTTCACAGACAATGTATTGCCGATATAACAACAAATACTAAAAATAAAATAAAATAATTATCTAATCGGTCCGATACAATAAACGTGATATTTTGCGTATTTTTTTCTTTGTTTTTATGTGCTGCACTAATTTAAATATTACTACAACTTCCTGATGGAAATTCCTTGTTGATTCATTAAGTCAATGTTTGCCTGCTCAGGAACGGTGTAATTGTAATAGCCAATTATACCTTCCTTGATAAATGAGGTAATTGCATCATGAATCATTCTATTGACTCGGTATGGGAACTACGTAATTGTTTCATACTTGCTACAATGATAGTTGCGTTTTAATAGGCCTTTTATATTGTACGATTTATAATTACGACCCGTTGTTTGAGTTCGCTCAATAGTAGTAGCTCGGTGGCGTAGTGGATAAACGCCGCGGCCTGCGATCGTCGTCGTTAAGTAACTTTCGCGAGGGTCGGGCACGGGATGGGTGACCAAAAAAATATTATCTCGAGCTACTCCGTGCTTCGGAAGGCACGTTAAGCCGTTGGTCCCGAATGCATATGCAGTCATTTAAATACTCCTCCAACTTCCTGATGGCCCATCCTCCTTGACGATCCATTAAGGCAAGGCCTGTTTCCCTGCAGTGGGACGTAAAAGGGCTGGTGATGATGATCATGATGATGTTTGAGTTTGACGAATTAATGGAAGCATTAACATGAATACTTGAATTATAATTTACTAAATAATAATACATAATGTACACCAAAATATATATTCATTTATTTTCTCACCATTAGGGAAATAGCTCTTGAACAGCTGACTTTCATAGCCCATAGCTTCTCTATGTTGCACAGCCGCGCCATTGAATTTATCGTCCAAGCCGACGGTCAAAATGGCCGCCGCTCCAGACTCGTCTTGGGTAGATTCGCTTCCGATCCAGTAATGAATGTCGTGGGATAAGTTGTTTCGCTTGTCTGCTGTTGTCTAAAAAATGTAATTCTCTTTTAATAATTGCAAATATAGAGTTAATAAACCGGTATATTTTAAGAACCGGTACGTTTAAATAACCGGTTCATTTAAAGAACCGGTTAAAATTACATTTTTAGTTTATTTTGCGGGTGAAGTCTCAAATTATTTACCTTCAAAATGATGTATGAGTCCCCTTTGTAGAATTTTCCGTAATCGTTTTGGGAAACAGCAACTGGGTTAAATGTCTGTAATATTATAAGAAAATACTATAATGTAAATTAATATTAATTTAAATAATTTATTAGAAATACTTAACTAAAATACCATTACACAGTGATGGGTCTTAATCATTGTAAGCGTTATAAATATATTGTGTTAAGCATTTTCTACTTAAACTGAAAGTCGCGAAATTGGAATTTCGTGACATTGCGACCGCCTTAATTTTGAGCCATAAAAAAAACTGTTGTGGCATATGACGCTGTCCTTTGATTTTTTTTGTGTATAAAACTTTTTAGAGCGTAATTTAGCTGTAGTCCGGTTTTAATTTAAGAACTTATTTTTTATATTATGATATGTGTTAATCTTTAATATATATACTATATAATATTACCAAGTTGAAGAGTTTGTTTGTTTGGTTGGACGCCTTAATCTCAAGGACTACTGGTTCGAATTGCAAAAATATTAATGCGTTGAGTAGTCCATTTATTAAGGCTGTGACTAATAAAGGAATGGAGCAGCTATGAAATATGTTGTAAAAACGGGAAAACCACGCGGGCGAAGCCGCTGACGGAAACCTAGTGTACCGTTGGTTGATCTTACTTCAATCCTCCATATTTCAACACCAGCTCTCTGCCCTGCGTTTGCAAATGCTGAGTGTAACCGAGCCTTGTTTCGGGCGTCCTAGAAAAAAAACAAGGCACTTAAAACGTAAGATAATAATGTTTTACCTAGCCAAGAGATGGCGTTAGCATTAGTTTCTACTTCAGTATTCTTATATTTTTTTTTTATTAAGTATTCAGTTCATGTAGTTTTCTAGGGTGCTGTACCAAAAGTGCAATAATAACACAAGCTTATTAATAATACCCGCTGTCTGTCTGTCTGTCACCAGGCTGTATCTCATTTACTGTGATAGTTAGCCAGTTGAAATTTTTAACAACAAATACTAAAAATTAATATGAAAATTTTAACTCTTATACAACAAACAAGTGTTTTTTTTTTGCGTTTTTCATGTGATTCTCTGAATCATTAACTTCTGGTTTGATATATCGTCGTCGTTACCACATATGTACATATGTAAATTATTACATATGTATTTTTTTATTTACCAAGAAATAATTTACATAATAGGCATAAAAGTTAAGGAGTGGGGCTCGCTACGTCACAATAATGAAGTATTAAAAAAAAACATTAGTTCCCGAAATCAAACTAGATGTCACTACAGTACTTTCTTGGTTTCTCCATGACAACCCTTCCGGTTTTCTTTCATGTATAAAAAAAGTAAATTAGTTTTCAAAACTCAATAAACAACTCATATTCTATTTGTAATTTTTTGTATTTGTATTGATATCTAAGTTTCAAACTTTGCAAATTTCAGTTTTTTAATATGTTAGTTAAAAGGAACGGAAATGACTGTCTTTGGTCCATTCGTTTCCTGCAAAAATCAACTTTTGCTAGGTCGCCATCTAGTGGAGGTGCTTTTTTAGTGCTTTGTTTTTTTTAATACTTCCTCATTGTCCTGTTTTATATATTTTCAGTTTGTGCGTAGGGTTACTTTTTTCTCATTTGACATTACCTTGTCAGTCAAAGAGGTTATTTGTGCTGACACAGGCTTCTGGGTGGCTGTAACCCTAGCTTCTATAACGGCAGCTAGAGCCAACAGGCACCAAGCAAATATAAGCTTCATTCTGAAAAAAAAAAACATGTTTCTTATTGCCTATATAGAAATATAGCCTAGGGAAACCTATGCGTTATTCAACTGCTGCTCTTTACGAGGAGGCTGGAGTTTTGAGTGTTAGAAAACTGTATTTTATGAGAGTTGCAGTCGCAGTTCATAGGTCTATACTGAAATCTGAAGCATATAAACAGATGCTGAGAAAACGTGTTTTTAAACTACCAATTCCATCTGGAGTTACCGCTTTTGCACATCGTTTCGGGTTTTTTCTTCGGCCTTACTTGCCAAAATATGCCATTTTGAGTATTCTAGTGTTCAGGAAACAAAAAGGCTGGTTTCAGGGATACTGATGAACTGGACGTATGAGAAGACCGAAGCGTTACTAGCAGCTCTGAAGTCGTCTTGATATAAAATAAAATAAAGAATAATACTATACCACATATACTATAACGCATACACACATCACATAGCATTCACACATACACGACATAAATGGCCATGTCCCAAATCAGCATTCTAAATATATTGTAAAATTTGTGTTATAAAATGTTCTAAATATTTTTATTGGAAATTGTAATAATCTCTTCCACAGGCCAGGCACTGCCTAGTGTGGAGGTCAGTATGTATAAAATTGTAATGGTTTCTTGCAATTCCTCTTTAATCTGACATTTGTAAGTTATTCACGAACTACATGCTACAACTATTTGAAATGTGACAGTTATTGCTAGGGTTGCCAGATGGCCGGGATTTTCGGCATTGTCCTGAAATTTTGCATGTTATCCCGTGTCAAGTAATTTTATTTTGCTGAACCGGAATGAAAAAAAAATTTTTTTTTACAAAGTTACGATACTACGGCAACTACGGCGTGAGGTGAGCGACGGAAGAGGTGATTGGCTTTAAGTTGATTTACATTTTACTTTTTGTACAGTATAAGAAAGTAGTTAAAAAAATTTTTTTTCATCATCGTTCGTCATCATCGTTCTATCATCGTATCATCGTTCTAGGTAATTTCTGCTTAGTTTAGTCTCGGACTGGAGACCAAAACTCCGATTCTGTTCGTGGCCCCAGAAATGTCTAGGAAATGATCAGCCTGGATCTGGCAACCCTAGTTATTGCGAACGTGACGTTTTTTTATTGAAGGAAATCATTCATTACACTTTAATTGGATTTGTTTAAAGGAAGCGTAAGACACAAATACATATTACTTTGAATAGTACTGAGAAATAACAAATAAAAGAATTGAATGCAAACTGCAATCTTTCAACGGCATAAGTTTTTATTTTTTCTTGATAATTCAAATCATCATTCATTCCTAAAGCGATTGCAACTTTAAACATTACTAATACCATTAATTTCTATAACCAAGTCATTTAAAAAACAACTAAAGTTACATTCCCGAGTCTTTACCAATGTATTTCACCCGCGTAAGATGTAGCTATGCTGCAGATTAGCTTTTCCCAAAGTGGGCGATAACGCCCCCTCGTGAGTGCTGTTGGCCTAAAGGGGGCGGTAAGATACTCAGAAAAAAATTGGGGCATCGTTTAGAGGCTTAGGAAGAGTAAACTAGAGACTCATTTACTACTGTCTATCAGTAATGTATGGGATACATCAATCGTCTATAGCAGGGGTAGCCAACTTGTTTAGTTCCAAGATCGACTTTTCACTGTCGACACCCAGTACGATCTACCAATTACTTTACTTTTTAAAATCTTAAATAAAACAGAATAGTTCGTACACAATTAGGTAGCATTTTGATTTTATTTATATTTTTTGAATTGCCACTGATTGCCATCGACTGGACCTACTGGTCGATCGCGATCGACTGGTTGGCCACCCATGGTCTATAGTATACCTTATATATATATATATATATATATTTAAGTATAACAACAGTCGATTCTTTCTGCCTTTATTCCTTTTTACGTCGTCATCATGGCCGGTGCGTAACATATTACAAATTAATAATTAATGCAATTATATACCTGTAGAACTTATATTTTGTTAAATAAATGTTTGTTCAAGTCATCTTAGTGCTTTTTATCATTTGTGGCTGTTTCTGATCACTCTTTACAACCTCAATACTTACTATGCTCAGGTCTCAAGACAACTCTTGCGGGTTATAGTAAAAATCTCGTTAGTATAAATGTTTAATCTAATCTATAGTTCAAAATAATTAATTTAATTTGAGGTTATAGTGGTCTTAAGTAGTTTAAAAAACGGTGGCGCTAAAAAAATATTTTTGTCAAAGTGGGCGGGTGATAAAATAAGTTTGGGAAACCATGCTCTAGATGAATTAATTTTAAAATCGGTCTAGTAGTATCGTAGCCTATTAAATGCTAACTTACAAACAATAAAATGTTTCCTTTAGAGCAAATTTATATTGTGTTTGACATGTAATGCTGCCCAAGTGATAATAAACACTTCTTATATGCTCGCCCTGACACAACATTTAAGCTTTTTTTCCTGTTTTATAACGACACTAGCTTTTGCTCACGACTTCGCCCGCGTAGTCTAGTTTTAAGTCTAGAAATGAGAAAATTCCATAAAAAATATTATTGTCTTATTTATCCCCTTAGAGATCGAAGTCCTAAAAAGAACCCGCATGCAAAATTTGAAACTCCTAGCACTTGTAGCAGTGAAGTTTCATACAAACTTTCATCCCCAAATTTATCCCTTAGGGGTCGAATTATGTCAAATTCCGGCTCAGTGAGCACCTACGTACTTTCTACTTTCATCATATTAACTTACATCCCCTAATTAAGCACCTTCGGGGTGGAATTTTCAAAAAGCCTATCTCAGTGCTCCTTTTAAGGAGTCTTCATTCCAAATTTTAACTTTCTACGCTCATTAGTTTCGGCTGTATGTTGTCTGTCAGTTATTCATTCAGTAACGCAACAATTTTATATATATATATATGTCGCATCATCATTACGAAGATCGTTTGATTTAGTTGCTTTTATTTTAATTGCTAGTTACTCGATTACTTAATTACTCGATTGTAAAGAGAGCGTGATCATCGATTCTTTTAATTTTATTAGAATGGTGACACTGACTTTGACAGTTCGTTTATAAAAGCCAAGTTGCCGCCATTTTTGCACACGTTCTGTTTCCGATCGCCGAGGAGTAAAGACATCAGACGACATCACGCTCATCTCGTTATATTTTCGTATGAAAAGTGATAAAATGGAACAAATCCACGTTGGTATACACGCCTGCAGTGTTATTTTAAAGATAGTCCTCCGATATGGACTATTTATTTGGGCTTCGTAATAGCCTGTTCTGACTACCCGCCGTTATATATATATATATATATATATATATATATTTGTTATATTATTTTTGTTTTATATTTATTATTAATGTAATCTATACATTTCATAAAACAATGTCGCTTCCAGCTGTCTGTACGCTATCTTTTAAACAACACAACGGAATTTAAAGTGATTTTCTTTAATATACAGAGTGATTCAAGAGGTATGTATATACAGGGGAGATCACCTAATTCTTTAGCCATATAAATGACATATTAGAGAGTTCTATGGCCATATTTCGTTTCATTATAATACTTATACTTCATGGATTTTGGATGAAATGACTAACAAAATTAACACCAAAACAAATTTAACGTAACCCTAAACACGATTCTAAATTAGAAGTGCGAGAAAAAAAGCCTATTTGCTTAAAAAATTTAGCGTCATAAAAAAATAGATCATAATACAACAACAGTCTATTGTTGTCTATGACTCACGCACACGTTAAGGAAAATGGCCTATTAACAAGGTCTTACTTCTAATGTGAGTTTGTTATTTCATTATCGACCTCTATGTATGAGCATGATGTTTTTGACTTGATCTTTTGATTTCGTGGTTCAATAAGAAAAATATTTTAATTTTTTTTACACAAAGTCCAAAAAAACTCGTCAGACTCGCGCACGAAAGGTTTACCGAAGAATCGTTTGTTATATGGGAGCCCTTTAAATATTAATTTTATTCTGTGATTTTAGTAATGAAATGAAATGAAAATATCTTTATTCAAGTAGGCTATTACAAGCACTTTTGAATCGTCCAAAAAAATTTTTTTTTCTCTTACCACTTGTTCAGGACGTCTTTTAGCTGACAAGGAGAACAAGCGAAAGAAACTTACCAGCTATTTATCATAAGTAATGACATTTACATAAATCATGTCATTACCAAAATAATATGTGTTATCACAATAATAAATACAACTTTCAAAGTCTGTAGGACATAGGTTGAACATATAATTAGTCTTTATAGAACAAAGCGAAGGCTATTACTTCCATGCATTGCGATCCTTAAAATAATCATCAACTTTATAATAGCCTTTACTCATGAGTATGTTCTTTAAATTTTAAATTTATTGTTATATCTATTTCAACTGATAAACAGACAGACTTAATAATAGTTTTACGTTTTATTTATTGAGTACGGAATACCAAGAAGCGTATTTTGTGTATAACGCTCAGTGGGTAGGCCTCCAGGTGGACCGACTTATAAAGTTTGCGGGCCGCTGGACGCGAGCAGTGCTGGATTGATAAAGTCAAAGTCAAAATAATCTTTATTCAAATAGACTTCTTAAAAGTACTTTTGAATCGTACAACATTTTTTCCCTACCACTCAGGACGTCTTTTAGCTGATAAGAAGAACGAGCAAGAAACTCACCAGCTATAATAAGAGTAATGACACTTACAAAAATCATGTCATTACCAGATCAATACATTATAAACAGAGATAGAAAAAAAAAAAAAAACTATGGTCTTATAATAATAACATAATCATTTAATAATAATGGAAACAAGATAATGAGTTTAGAAGTAATCACCTATCCAGTTGCTGGATCATCTCAAGTCCAAGCTTATAATCGGATACCTTATAGTAAGCTTTTTTAATAAGTATTATTTTAATAGTAGATTTAAATTGCATGATATCTAATTGTTGTATTTTGCTTGGGACCTTATTGTAGAAGCGCTCACAAAGACCCTTGAATGAGTTATTAACTTTTTGCAGTCTAGT